AATGTCACATTCTTGGCAGAGGTAAAAAAATAAGGGGAATAACATATAAAATGCTACATCTACTACAACTAACCTTATAAACTTTTTAAGGTCCACATTTGTGTGACCACTTTTGTTGTAATGCTTTGCTTCTGTGGCACCACAATTTCCCCATTGTGGGACAATAAATGGATTTTCTATTCTATTCTATTATATGGGTGGATGATGGGTTAAATGCAGAGGTAAATTTCTCCAGTGTGAGATCAAAAAGGTTCAATTATTATTTTATTAATCTATTCTAACATAACTTGGAGATTTACTCCCCCTAGTGGTCAAATGCTCTTCTGTTTTTTTCATTTAGAGCAACTTTGCCGCTTTGCTAAATTTTTTGACCCTGCAGCATTTTTTCCCTCTAATGCTACGTTCACATCTAAAGCAGCAGAGGCAGCAGGAGCAACTAGTTTACATGCAAAGACTATGGCTGACGGGCATCAAGGTGCAGCAAAACGAACCGCAGTGCGTTTTGAGCAGCCCGTCTGAGCAGCTGCTGCTGGAGTTGGGGAAAAATTGCCTTTGCTGCTCCAAGCGCCACATCAACCAATCAGAGGGGCTGATCTGGGAGCTGGCAGAGAGACAGACACATCGCTGATGATACAGATCACTATGATCACTCCTCTGAAACAGTTAATTTACGCCTAAATTAACTTAAAATGCTGAAACCTGCCGGAAAAGCATGTTCGCTTTTATTATCCTGGTGCCTGTAGTGTGAATTACGTACACAAAAACGCCTTACAGCTGCAACAGCAAACCGCCAAGAGCGGACCGGGCCAGAGGCTGCTGTTGATTGGGATTCCCAATCACAGCACGGCCAGCATGTGAGGGTCTGAGCGGCTCTGACAGCGGAATAATATTTCTAAGCAGGATGGATTTGGATGAACTGTCTGCACAGATTAAGTTTTCAGGTGGACTTTCTCACTTCAAAATAGATTCCAACTACTTTTTACCTACTGATCACAGCAAATATAGCTGCCATTGTTACAGGCAAATAAAGCACAGGGTAGCTCCGCCCAATTGTTCCACCACGCAGCCAGAGCAGCAAAGCTGCTTCAGCTGTGCGCCAGAACTAAACTTGTAGAAGCATCAAAAATGAAGCAGCATCATGAGTTTTTGCTGCTCTTGCTGCTTGCGGTCTGAACGTAGCATTAGTGTTTTTTTAAAAAAGATTTTGGAATTTGCATGATTTGTGTATCTGCGGTAGGGGTGTGCAAAATAATCGTCATGATGATGCATCGTGATTCTAATTTTAGTGATCTACTGCATCGATTCTTGACGCCAAGTATCGATTATTAATAAAAAAAAATGAATAAATAAAATTGCATGAATGGTTGGCGAACATCAGCCAAAAACAAGTGTAATACAACTTCCAGTCCAGTAAATGTTGCTGCAAATGTGTTGACGCACGCTGCCTTGTGTCACAAGCATTTCCGGCCGTGGGATACTGCGCCGAGTCATTCAAAAACAAAACATGGAGGAGAAAATATTGCAATGCATCGCAATAATTCAATTATCGTGATGCATCGTGATAGAATCGCATTGTGACTTCTTTGGCAATACCCACCCCTAATCTGCGGCGCGTTTGTCGTATCTCCAGTCCTTTTGTTTCCACCTGTTGGCCCCCTTATAAAAAAAAAAAAGCAATTGCAATGGCTGAAATCAATGGTTTGGAGAAGTGCACTAATAAATGAAGCACTGCAGTATATTTGATGTTTCCAGTCATTATTCAGAGCTGTAGGTCTCCCCCTACAGGTTTCAAACATTTGACGTAAACAAGCAGATTTCTAATCGCTCTCCACACTGGAAAAAAAATAATTAAAATCATTCTAGAAATATAGCAAAAAGAAACATTTTCTGACCTTAAGTGGGAAATTTATCATCTGATTCAGACTGTTTGTGTTTCTCTACAGTGAATGAATATATCTGGTTTCTTCTATAAGCCGTGCTTTAGCCATTTCTAGCTTGTTTTGCTTATTTTATTTTTGGCAAATAATTTAATGCGTTCAGTTTTTCTACCAACCTTTAAAGAGCAGAGATTTCAGTACGGTTCTCCAGATCCTTATAGCTGGTAGCTGAATTAAAATCCTGTTTGATTAGTGTTTGTCTGGTTGTGTTGTAGGTGAAAAAGCTCTAAGAGATGCAGGGATCCCGTATTCAGCTGTTGAGCAAGCCTGTGTGGGCTACGTTTATGGTAAGACTGAGTTTATATTGGTCTCAAACTAATGTTTATTTAAACGGAATAAAGGTAAGTAGATTTTATCCTCGTTATTAAGGCCTTTTGACACTATGTAACGTGTATCTAAGTCGTTTTTTTATCTGTGCTTTTATCTCAGGGGACTCCACATGTGGTCAGAGAGCTATCTACCACAGCCTGGGTCTGACAGGAATCCCCATCATCAACGTGAACAACAACTGCTCCACCGGCTCCACCGCTCTCTTCATGGCTCGCCAGCTGATTCAGGGAGGTGAGTCCTATAGGAGGCTGTGAAAAGTGCTGAACAGGATGGGAGAATGTTTCCTTAGGAACAAACTAATTAATGTTGGATCTGTTGATTCCATTAATGGCTGAAAGCATCTTTAATGTGTTGTTGACGTTTTTGCAGGTCTTGCTGACTGCGTGCTTGCCCTCGGTTTTGAAAAGATGGAGAGAGGCTCCTTGACTTCCAAAGTATGACTCATTATTTTTTTCACTCATGCTTGTTTATATCCTTTTTACATTTTAGTAATAATGTTGCAGCCTGTCTGTCTTTATCATCACTTTATGATGTCACTGCAGACTTACTGTAGAGATTCTGGACCCCTTTGTATGTTTGGGCAGATTATACTTACAGGAGATCTGAGGATGAATCCTAATAGTTTTACTTACTTTAATAAATCCTGATTGAATTCAACATAGGCAGAAGACATTGATTAAATGATTAACATTCCCTCATAGCAGCCATACTGCTCAGGGTAAGCCATCCTAGCCCCTGGGAGGTTAGAGCAATGATGCCCAACAGAAACCAGCATACACACTCTTTCTTTTTTTCATTATTTCTTTCATTCTTTCTCACAGTTTTTTCTCCATTCTTTTTTTTTCTTTGTTTTTCTTTCTTTCTTTTTTTATTTCTTGTCCTTTTTTAATTTATTTTTCTATTTTCTTTTAGTCTTTATTTTTTTTTTCCATATTTTGTTCTCTCTCTTTTTTTTCTTTTTTCATTCTTTCCTTCTTTTTTCTGAAATCTTTTTACTTTGTTTTTGTCTTTCATTCTTTCTTTTTTGTTTCATCTTTTTAGTTTGTTTGTTTGGTTGTTTCTTTGTTTCTTTCTTTCGAGACATGACGTTTCTTATTTAGAAACGTATGAAAATTTTTTAAAGAAAATTGTTCCTCATGCAAAACAACAATTCATATTCATATTTGGTAATGATCCAGATTATGTGTGAGTTTTAGCTATAGGTCTAAGTCACAATATGGGATAACATTTGCTCCTTGGAGGAGGTCTGCGCTCTCAGAGGGCTTTAACTAGTTTTAATGTTGGTGTTTAAAGGAATAGTACACCCAAAACATGATTAGTTTTCATTTTCTACTCACCCCCATGCTAAACAACACTCTGGAGTACTTTTTTGATATCTCAAATGCATCTGGAGATCTGGGAGGCTTCTTGCTGTCTGCTGACATTCAAATAATGGAGGTCTATGGCGCCCGAGGCAGAAAGGTCCATAAAAGTCCACAAAAAACGTGTCAATATTCCTCCATACTGCTCGTCCAATGTATTCCAAGTGTCCTGAGTGGGTAGCATCCAGAATTTACTCGAAACAAAGTCATTTAGAATGTTTTTAGAGCATAAACAGTAGTGTATAGGATTTCCTGAAAGCGCGCACATGCGCGTTCATGACGCTACGGAAGCCGGCAGACCAAACCAGATGAAAGTGCGCATTCAGCGTCTGCTCTGCCGATAATGCAAGCGTAGAAGAAGAAATGTGCTGTTTACCTGTGCAAAGAAAGAAACAACCAAGGAAAAATGTCTGAGGACTTCAGTGTTGAGGAAGAGCATGAGTTCTTTGCCGAGCTGAATGCGCACTTTCGTCTGGTTTGGTCTGCTGCGGTTTCCGTAGACTCATGAACGCGCATGTGCGCGCTTTCAGGAAATCCTATACACTACTGTTTATGCTCTAAAAACATTCTAAATGACTTCGTTTCGAGTAAATTCTGGATGCTACCCACTCAGGACACTTGGAATACATTGGACGAGCAGTATGGAGGAATATTGACACGTTTTTTGTGGACTTTTATGGACCTTTCTGCCTCGGGCGCCACAGACCTCCATTATTTGAATGTCAGCAGACAGCAAGAAGCCTCCCAGATCTCCAGATGCATTTGAGATATCAAAAAAGTACTCCAGAGTGTTGTTCAGCATTGGGGTGAGTAGAAAATGAAGGTTAATCATGTTTTGGGTGTACTATTCCTTTAAACAGTGTTAAAAGTTGTCAGACTCACAGGATACTTAGTGATTACTTCTGGAATCCTCTTTTATGGATGTAGCGTTGTTTAATGGATGTTTTTTCATTTTAAAGTTCATGGATAGGACCAATCCAATGGACAAGCACATGGAGGTGATGATCAACCGTTATGGGATGGCAGCAGCACCGGGAGCACCGCAGATGTTTGGCAACGCCGGCAGGGAGCATATGGAAAAATACGGTAGTTTGGGTTTGGTTATGTCTCCATTGAGAACTGAATTAAAGAGAGTAATAGAGGATGACCTTTGATTTTTTGACCTATCAGGATGAAATAGCAATAATGTTGTCTTTATCAGGGTTTAAAATGATTAAAATCTAACCTAATGATTCTGTTCTGAATCATTCTAATGTCTAATTCTTCAGCCTCACAGTCTCAATCTCCAGAACTGAGGCTCAGGTTTCCTTACAAAGGCAGTAATTTCTGCTTTGCCCCCACTTATTGACTAATTTCTTCCTCCTTTTCTTATTCAGCTTTCATAATCTGGCCAAACTGATCTATGCTATCCTGTTTAGGTTTGATATTTGTGTTTCTTTTCCTCATTTTTAGGCACGAAACCAGAACACTTTGCTAAGATTGCTTGGAAAAACCACAGGCATTCCACCAATAACCCGTAAGAGAAAACCTTAAGCTGCAGTTTTTCTGAGTTTGGTTTAGTTTTGTCTTCTAATACGACCACATTATTTCTCTTTTCTGATCTGTTTAAAATATTGTTTTTTCTGCAATTGTAATGCAGATATTCCCAGTTCCAGGATGAGTACAGTTTGGAGCAGGTGATGAACTCCAGGAAGGTGTTTGACTTTCTCACTCTTCTGCAGTGCTGGTAAGAATGTTATTCATTAGCAGGGGTCGCTACACTCCAAAAACAATCTAGAAATAAGTACAAATTTCTTAAATTAAGTGTATTCACCCTTAATTTGAGTAGGTAAATGAGTAATTTTACACTTAAAATAAGATATTAGATAATTTGCACTTGAAATAAGACAATGCAATTGTGTTTTCTTATTTTAAGTATAAATTGTCTTGTTCCATTGGCAAAATGTCTCTTTTACGTCCTCAATTCAAGAACAAATGCACTTATTTTAAGAAAAAATGACTTATCTAGATTTAGATTTTTTGCAGTGTAACTTAAGAAAGCAACATGTAAACAGGTAGAGATTAACCCTGCTTTTCTGTAATCAAGCCCAACTTCAGATGGAGCTGGAGCAGCGGTTCTGGCCAGTGAGGCCTTTGTTAGGAAGCACCATCTTGAAAACCAGGCGGTGGAGATTGTGGCTCAGGAGATGGTGACCGACTTTCCTTCCACATTTAGCGAAAACAGCTGCATTAAGATGGTAGGATACGCAAAAGGAGACGATTCTGATACTTAATAGACCGTTTCAGACCTTGAATGCTTTCCTCCTTTTTGCGTGCAGGTCGGGTACGACATGTCTCGGCTAGCGGCTAAAAAGTGCTTTGAGGCTGCGGGTTTGAAGCCGAGCAACGTTGACGTAGTCGAGCTGCACGACTGCTTCTCCGCCAACGAGCTCATCACTTACGAGGCTTTGGGTTTGTGTGAAGAAGGTAAGGCACTGACTGCTACACCAGCATGGAACCTGAGAAGCTTATCCTGCCAACCATCACCTGCCTGCTGGAATCTAAGTGATGCAATGCAGCTATGAAAAGACCTGTGCTGTTATTTTTATATACTTTCATTAATTGCATTTCATCCTCATTTTTCTGACTTTTTCCTGTTTCAATCATCATTTTTAGCATCTTAGCTACTAAACATTTACATCTGATTTGGACTTAAGGTGCCATTCACACATTTTAGTCTATATATTATTGAAATGTTCTTTTTCAAATAAACACTTCTAAATTGTGCGACTGGGAAAAACAACAACTAATAGCTAAAGGTACGTTGCAAAAACAATTTAGAAATAAGTCAAAAT